CTTCATCGTTGTTCTTGGGCTGGGCCTGACAAAGGGATATACAAATAACACACCAAGAAAGTGACCTGGATAATTTTCCTATACTGGATTTACAAAAGAGGCTAGTTAAAGCTTTGAAGAATTTTGTGAGAAGGGACAAAGAAAAAATGAAAAGAAATCAAGTTCTAGGACAGTATTTGAAGGGATTAACGATCAAGATTCTTACAAGTAAAAAGAAGGCATATACAGTTGGTGTATTTGATCAAGGTTAAAATACATTGTTATCTCTGGTAACCCTTAATGGACTTTTGCTGACATCAGGACTGAAATGATGAGGCTTTGTGGATGTGTATTTGATCAAGGTTAAAATACATTGTTATCTCTGGTAACCCTTAATGGACTTTTGCTGACATCAGGACTGAAATGATGAGGCTTTGTGGATTTCTTTATAGATAAGATATGAGATATGGGTAGAAGAGATCATTTGTTGTATTTTAAGAGAAGGTGATAAGCTACTAAAATTGTTTATACTTGTTATGATGAAGGGGTAAATATATAATTTCTTTTCTTTTTCTTTACGATATTCTTATTTTTTTCCTTCTTTTTTATTTTTCTTCCTATTTTTTCTCTTTTTTTCTTTTCGGCACCTTCTATTTTTTTTCCTTTTTTTCCCTTTCTTTTCTTTTTCTTTTAGTTTGTATTTCTTGTAGTTTTTATTGTCATAATTGTAATTTTTAATAAAATTACTATATAAAAAGAGAATTCTGGGGCCTTTAATCCAAACTTGTGTGAAAGGCACTGGTTAGGGAAGGTTGTCCTATGCTGTGCTTCACACATAGTCCTCAAAGTTTGTTCATTCATGTCTAAAGCCCAATAATTACCCCCAGGGAAAAATGTACAGCCTCAAATTATTAAACATTTGCTGTGCATCCATCTTAGCAGATCATATACCTGACATCCAGTGCTGAAGTTATTTGGTGTGATCCAGTCTTCAAGCATTCTGAGAATTGATGCTCCCTAGATAGACAGAGATTTGATAGTATTGATAAATAGCACTTTATATACCAATTTCTATTCAGGGTGTTTGGAAAAACAAACAAACAAGCAAGCTACACCAGCATGCTTGAATAAAACACACTGATAATGTATACTCTCCCCATTTCTGTGCAATCCAGCAACACATACGTAGTATTAGTCATTCTTTGCACTAATAAACTGCTCTTCTTCCCTCATAGGTCTTCTCCTCCCAGTCTGAGAACAAATGTAACCAAGAATGAGCCAAGCTTCAGTTCCCAGCCATTTGTTGAAATCTTACCCTAAATGTCTTTATAGAAGCACATATGATATAAAAGTTTACCGTCCAGCCCCAAACTGTACAACCCAAGCCCTCGTTGGTTTTTTGTGGCTTCACGTGGACTCTGTCATTTAAATTTTGGAAAATGTTGACAAAAACTAATATACCCAGAAATTCTGGTCTGTTGAAATTTCTAGCTTCCAGACTTCACTAGATGAATACCAAAAAAAAGCATAGCTTTGCTCAAAATTATTTTAACTGTTATATGTGGATACCAGTATTGTGCTGAAGATTGCTTCTACTTTGACTCCAGCTCTAAGGAGAACTTTTCAGTGCAATTCTCACAGATGAAGGACAGGATTATTGTCATCAAGTGAGCATACAGCATGTCTGTGTGCAGGTGACTGTCTTGTCTTTCACTGGTACAATCATCTTTCCAGCCATCTGCAAGTTCCCTGGCTTCCCACATCTGCATACTACTAAAACTCTCATTGTGTTTATCTGTTTGTCTGTTTGTACCTTTTGCCCAAATGGTACAACAATTTTTGAATCAAGGTGCCTAAAATCCACTAATTTAAAGAATGTGAAAAAAAATCCAGGACCCATTACTCCTGTAGAATTGAAATTTCCATGATGTTCACACCAGTTTTATTCACAAAGTTGTGGCTGTTGCAGCATCCCCACAGTCATGTGATTTCTGACAGTCCCTGCCAGCAAAGTCAGGGGGGAAGCCAGCAGGAAGTTAGAAGTCACTCCAGCTCCCACTGCTTTTTTGCCCGCCTGTAGTCATTCTGTTTATTTGTTTAGGTAAGTAAATATTGACTTATTATTGAAGTTCATTTATCACTACATTTATTTTTCTACTTGGATGATCACAGGACCATCCAGCATTGGGGTAAAAAAAAATATAGTCACCCTAAAATTTAATGTTCATTCTGGTCACATCAGACTGCACTACGTGTTTCTCAAAGGATGACCCAACGGGTCACAGGGTTGTTTAGTTTCAATTAAACCTCAGATGATGGTATCATGAGGAACGTACTTCTATGGAACTTTAACAGATAGGGAAGTGGGGACAGCCAAGGAAGCTTCAGGATCACAGAAAGATATGTAATAGAAAATAACAGAAGCACTCTTCTTGACACCTTACAACCATTCAGTAAGCACAAAATAAACTTAAATGAACCCTGAGAATGAGGCACAGAAAAGCAGAAACCTCTTTCAAATGGGAAGAAAACATTTTGGAATTCGAGGATATATTGGGGCATAGTATTAGTGAAGATATTGTCTGATAAACATGAGCCAGCTCCATTTGGCATGCTGATTCCAGCCATTTGTGCCAACTTACACATCTGCTTACGGTCAGTGGCTTTGTTTCCCCATCTCCGCTCCAACTTGAAGCAATCCAATGAGAAAAGTGTCAGAGTTCAGTGGCAAATACATGCTTTGCATACTGAAAGTCCTAAGTTCAATCTCTGGCACTGCCAAGTTTGTTTGAGATTCTGGAGATCTGTTCATGATCAGCATAAGCAACATTGATGTAAGCACTCTGATTTGATACAAGATACCTTCCTAATGTTAAAAATAGATAATTGGATGTCCAAAAGGTTTGTAAGCAACGTTGTTTGCCACAATGCAACCCAGCTGTGTGATTTCAGCCTGTACGAAGTATGTGGATAATCCAGCCAACATGAGTGGAGATCCGTGCCTGGACACGAGTAAAGCTTATATGATTGGACCGTAATCTGCAACCCAGATGAAGGCTGCATTGCATAAATTTTGTAACTGGTAATCGTATCATCAGTTATAAATTTCAGACCATTTCCTTCTTTTTTTCATACCTTGAGCTTGGATATCAAAGTCCCAAATACATATTCAAGAGGCTGGCTATGAATGTGAATTTCCATTTAAACGGCCGCTTCCCCTGAATTATATGGTGAAGTAGTGAGAGGAAGACATGGCTATTGCAAAGAGACAAGGTCACTTACATCTAAGTTGTATCATTCACTATTGATGTATTGTATAGACACCCACTCACACAGTATGAAAAAAATCAAGAAGTAGGAACCATATACACAAGGTATAAAATCATTGTCATTTGATAATGATCAGTTTACCATTCCCTGTGTGTCACTGCTTATAATGTATATTGGCTTGGATGCTGTGCTCTTGCAGATAATTAAGTGATGGAAATTACAGTGCAGGATATCAAGGTTATGCATTTAATTTTTGCCCCAGGTACTTTCTGTATTGCATTCCTCTGCTACTTAAGAAAAACAACGTCTTCATCTCTCCTGCACTAAATTGTAGCTCCACATAGTGTAGGTACACACACAGAATACAGGTGTAACATCTATATCCCACAAGGTCCATCTCCTGGTTTTTCCCTAAGTTCACTGAATTGGCTCCAACACTATACATTTTTATCTTCTTTTCTCCCAATTATATGGGGAAACTTAAGCTCTTCCTTACTTTGCTGTAGGATATGCCATCAAATACAGAAGTTATTTCATCAGGAGAAGACACATTCACTGTAATAGGGTGAGATGAAAGCAAAGAATCATCCTTCAGCACAGGGAATAGGTCATCAATTAAAATTTGGTCCAGCTGTGGAGAAAAAAAAGGGGAATAAATAATTATTCCCCAAAATGATTTACTTAATTAGCTAAAAGCAGGCTAATCATGAAGAATGAGTAGCACATCATCCCTAACAAAAGAATGCCAAATGTCAATCTCACCTTATCATGGGATAAAAAGAAAGTTCCAGTTTTGGATTGATAGCTAGCTAATCAACAGGCTAAAGAACAAAGAAATAAATAGTCAAAAAGATGTAATTAGTGCTGCCCACTTTCCTGTTTTTCTCCAGAATTTTGCGTTACCCTATCTAGGATAACATCACTACATCTTGTGGTAATGAAAAATTAGCTAATATTTGAGCCAAGCTGTTTTTCTATCACCAAATTTGATAACTTTCACAGAGGAAAATTTACAGATTGAATCTACTAAATCTCATATCCCAGAGCTGAATAAGTTAATGAAACCTATCCCCCATAAAAACAAAAATACCTCCCTTGAGTTGAGCTGAACTCCTGGTGACCAGATAAAACCATTCAGTTTATTTGGCAGCAGTTCAAAAGTAGTTTGCCACTGTTTTCTTCCAGGATGTTTTTAAACTTTTCATCTAGCGTATAGCCCTGATATTTCTGGGCAGTTCCCCAATCAAGTACTAACCAAATCTACATTGCTTCTGAATTCAAATAAGGCCAGCTAATAGCTATCATCTGTTGAGCAGTAGCCATACTTAATATTTAAGAGGTGTATCTCATTTAAATTATTAGAAAGGAATGTCTCTGTAGATATTTTAGAGCAGTTTCCTCCAGCCTTGATACTTTCAACTCTCAGAATTCCTTAGTAAGTATGGTCCTTTATGAGAATTCTGGGGATGGAGATCCATGTAGCTGGAGGGTAGCTAGACTGGGGAAGCCTATTATAGCTATTCTATAAAACAGTAAACCCCAAAGCCCCTGCTGGAGGATTCTACAACTCAGCTAAATGCCTGACTCCTATAGTCCTGGATGGACTATTGAGAAGCACAATTCTACTACGTACTCTCTAATATAGGCTGATTTTCAACAATGATCAGTATTCTATGATCAGCACTACACTAGAAATAAATTCATTAAAAAGAATAGAAGTCACTGGTTGGGGAGTACAACATGGGGTTTCAAAACTGATTTTATTGAACCCTTATATCTTTGGAAAAACCATTTCTATCAAAATCCTTGGGCTAAAATGTACATGAAACATGAGTAACACTGCCTCTATTCACATTCTATAATTATACAAGGACATGAATTCTTACCATTTGCCAATCTTTTTCTGTAGCGTTTACACCCATAAACTCAAAGAAACTGGCGAATCCTTCATTTAGCCATAAGTCATCCCACCAATCCATGGTCACAATATTTCCAAACCACTATAGTTAGTCAAAGAAGCAAACAGCATTATTTTTGTGAATAGGAAGATAAAGAGCATATTGTCCATAACACAGCTGTTTAGATATTACACAAGACTTTTTCTCTTTTTGCCGGAAAAGAATTAACACAAGGACAACTCAGACAGGGGCTGCAAAAAATCTAGATGTCAGTAGGTGGAAGGAACGGATTAGAGTTTTCTGCGTCTCTTCCAGTGATCATCTGGATTTTTCCAGCCCATATCCGATAGTCCTACCTTATCTTCAACTTGTCTGTGGTGTTTTATTAAGGTGTACCTTGTATTAAAAAGGTTGTATCTTGGGATTAAAGTATCTGAAGAATGATGTACTACTTTCTGAAGTGGGCAATATGCTGAGGCCTGTTTTTTCCAAGAGCTTGAGTTTTGAGGTTAGGTGGGTAATAGCTGAGAACTGGACATTTTGGGTGGCAAAACTTCATCATCTGAAATGAAAAAGTTCCTGCGTTCTCTTAGGAGTTTCAAATACCAAGCCAAACCATTGTTACTTGCCCGTATTGTAGGGCAGCTGCAATTATGGTGCTTTATTATTGAAGCTTTATGGTTTGCATGTTTGCAACTAGCTTTGTTTAATATTGGCTGCCTTGGGAGGATGATTTATCATATTAGAAATCAGCACCTTCTCCTTCCATGTTCCTGAACATTGTGCTTCAACTCAAACATGACTATAATAAGGAGGCGTGGGTCTTTTCATTTCCATTGTCAATGTGTCACGTTACTGAAATTTGGCAACCTCTAGTTATAATAATGGAAAGAAAGATAATCAGAACTCAAAGCAATTGAACTGCTCACGATGTTGTCAGAACAGTTTGGGGGAAAACTAAGCTTTTCCAGTGGTTTATTGACAACTCAATTCAGCCCTTTTGAAAAGCATCTTCCTTTTAAAATGATAATAAAATAACTCTAACTGAAATATCCTACTTTGAAAGCTCTTTGGCAAAAGGTGGGATGAAAATGCTTCAGATAAAAAATAAAAGATAGACAATAATTTTGAAAACACAGTGTTTGATACAGGATCATAAATGTTATCCTTTAAAAGTCTGATGAGGTTTCTCAGAACACACACATTTCATCTGAAAATGTATGCCTAACGTTAAGATAATTGTTTAAAGCACCTGTTAAATAATTAAGGTTTTACTTTAAACCATTAAGGTTTTGCTTTAATTAATTTTGATGCAATCTTATTGAGTGGTTATATTGTAAATGGTGGTTGGAAGCAGTTGTCCATAATGGTGAAGAAGTTGTGCTGCTAAACTGAGATGTTGCTGAAATCAGTGTAATTTTTTCACACATTTTTCTTTTACCCTCCTTTGTGAGATGAAGGGCCAAGAGAAAAGAATCCCTATACAAATACAAAAATACAAAATACTTTAATGACCAAGTATAAAATATATACAAGGAATTTGTCTTCGGTGACA